ATTCTGAAATAATGCAGTGATGTGTAAGAAGGTGTATAAATATTTAATTTATAAATAAAAAGAATACAATAATAATACACTAGATTCACATGAGTATGAGATTTGTGATGACTTTAACATTATACACAAGATGTTGCTGTGTTAAAGGAAAAACAAATCACAATTCACATGTCATGGAAGCAATCATGCAGTCTTAGCTCACAGCGTTTCACAAAGAACGGGAGTGTAATCCTTCAAGTTGCTATTTACAACAAGATGGCACCATCTTATTGGACTATGTCGCTTAATGATAACCAGAATCTGATCCATTAAATGGTCACATCATTAAACAGTCTGATATCTTTATGATGAACATCACTTCGTTTGTATTTTTTATACTTACACTAATAAAGCCATTTTTGTTTATGCAATAGTAGAACCAGTCTTCTTGAATGTAGTGTTGAGTTTTCTGCGAGCACATTATGCAAATGAATAATTTTTCAGTCCATACTTCACTCCAATGATCTACCATCAATAGCATATAAATCCACCAAATAGCATATAACTCAAATGGAATGATGCTATTGATCTGAAAATCAAATATTCGCTTCATGTTCTTGGTACACTTAAGGTGCAGTCACAAATTGTCCACTGTGTATAGTGTAGCAATATATTAAGCACTATCACTTTCAAACCAAGCAGCTTTCTGTTGGTCAACATGGTGTGACCAACTGTAAAAACCGGGGAAATCTTTCACCATGAGATGAAATTCCAGATTGTGTGGATTCCTATTGAAATTGCTGGATTAGCTCACCTGCATAACAATGGTACATGTGACCACACCTCTAGTGCAGTTAACTGCACATTTATTTAATGATTCATTTATCCACAATAAGTTTAAAGAAAGCAGCATTTTGACCTACAGGAAGTGACTCAACGTCTTGGCAAGAGAGCCATTGTGAAGTATTTTTAAACTTAATTTAACGGCACATTTCTGAGGGCTATGGAATTTGTTTTACATTGCTGTAAAATAGTGGCATTTCAGGGATGTCCTCCACAAAAGCTTATGGCTTCTTCCTTATGGTTACCAGAGCATTAACCACACCATTTGGCTTGCAACTTCATCTATGATATGTAATTCTAACTTTTCACTGTTGCTAACAACCTGGGAAGGTAAATATTCTTGTTTAAAACGCTTGAAAACCCAATGGGCTCTTTAGGAGGAGGGTTGGACACTTTAGATTTAGTCAGTTGTGTCTTCATCTAGGTCACTGTCTGGAGAGCTTCTGTGCCTGTACTCTGCTGTGTTGGACAAACGCTTCCAGGCATTGTCAGACTTGTTCTCCGTACTGAGGGACCTACCCAGGCGTTTCATCGCTCGCTCCTCAGAACCGTCCTCTGTCGCAGCTTGACCTCTGTGTTCTGGCACCTGATGGTGGAGATCATGCCGCAGATTTTCCAGATTCAGTGCCCACGGTCCCAACTTTTGCCAGTTGACTCTCTGGAAGGCCATGATGCAATGCAGATTGCCTCCAACCTATGAAGAAATCAGGAATTATGCAGGGCTTCAATACTTCACAGCATACATTCAGACATTTTCCAAGACACATAATTCTTTATAATATTCAGATTATTGTAGAAGCACCATCACCATAGTCCTGAAGTTTCTTACCTTTTTGGTTTTGCGATACTGAATGCCTCTCTCTATGTGGCGAATGTCTAAGTATTCTGGGTTCTGAGTGTTCAGATCTGTCACAATATCTGCCCATCTGATAGTAAAAAAAAGGTCAGAATTTGAGCGTCATGATATATATTTATAACTTCACCGAGGAATACTATTCCATAAAAATGAACCATACTTTTTACAGTGGATTGCGGGGTGTTTCCTGCTAGGTTCACCAATAAGTATCCAGTGCTCCGTCTCATTAAGTGCCAGTGGTCCCCTATAAAAAGAAAGAAATGAGCTTCTTTCTTGATTAGAGGAACAGGGTCTTATAAAAGTGGTAGAAGTTAATAGTTTTCCTCTACACTTGCATGACTTTTCATAATGTAATAATACTGGTGCTGTGCGAGAGATTTTTGAGCTGTTTGTCACTTGCCCTCTTAGGTTCTAAATGAAAGAGAAAAAGTGAAAGTGATGTGACTGCATTTAACCCATCCAAAGTGCACACACAGCAGTGAACACACACCCGGAGCAGTGGGCAGCCATTTATGCTGCGGCGCCCGGGGAGCAGTTGGGGGTTCGGTGCCTTGCTCAAGGGCACCTGAGTCGTGGTATTGAAGGTGGGAGAGAGTGCTGTACATTCACTCTCCCCACCTACAATCCCTGCGAGACTCGAACACGCAACTTAAAATCTGTGATGTTAAAACATACACATCATAAAAACTTTACATTTAATGGGAAAAAAGAAAGAAAAGAAAACAATATAAACATTTTCTGGCACACATAAAAGTTCACTGCTAAAAATAAAATGTATGTTTTGGTAGTGCAAATTAACTGATTTTATTTTTTTCTTACAAGAATAACAACCTAACTTGAACTAATGAAGCAGTAAATGAAAGCCAAAGTTGCTGTACATTATACCTGTATGCTTTGGCTGCCTTTAGTGGTGTGGCTTCATAGCCCACAGGACAGAAGTAGTGATTCTGACAGTGATAAATATAGGCCATGGATTCGTCTTTAAGTCCCTGCGTCAGCTTCAGCAGCGCCCCCTCAGCTAGAATGAAGAAACATGCTCTACAACATGCTGCTAAAGTACTTTCTGACAATATCTATATCTAAAAGAAAGCTATAATACTGTCTGCTCAACACATTACATCAAAAGAATATTTGTAGAATAATATGCAGTTGGAGACTCGAATTCAAAATCCACACACCTGTCTCTCCTGCTGTCTTGTGCTTCCCATGAGGTTTGTACAGAATGTAAGAGCAACCCCGGACACGAAAATGATCGTTGATTTGCCTGAACCATCTGCAACAAAATAAAAATAGATCATGTACAATACAAATCAAACCTTTGGGGTCAGTAAGGTTTTTTTTAAACAAAATAATACTTTTATTCAACAAGCATGCATTAAATTAATCAAATGTGTCAAAATACTACTTTAAAATCCTTTAATAACATTCTAAGTAATATATTAGACTCATGCTGGTTCGAATTTACACTCACATATCTTCTAGGATCAAGTAGGTTCTTAAAATGCAATGAAGAAAGGCTTAGCTGGAGTTTGGATAAAGGTAAGCTCAAAGTTAAGCTTCATTAAACATACAGTGGGTACGGAAAGTATTCAGACCCCCTTAAATTTTTCACTCTTTGCTATATTGCAGCCATTTGCTGAAATCATTTAAGTTAAAAAATTTTTCCTCATTAATGTACACACAGCACCCCATATTGACAGAAAAACACAGAATTGTTGACATTTTTGCAGATTTATTAAAAAAGAAAAACTGAAATATCACATGGTCCTAAGTATTCAGACCCTTTGCTCAGTATTTAGTAGAAGCACCCTTTTGATCTAATACAGCCATGAGTCTTTTTGGGAAAGATGCAACAAGTTTTTCACACCTGGATTTGGGGATCCTCTGCCATTCCTCCTTGCAGATCCTCTCCAGGTCTGTCAGGTTGGATGGTAAACGTTAGTGGACAGCCATTTTTAGGTCTCTCCAGAAATGCTCAATTGGGTTTAAGTCAGGGCCCTGGCTGGGCCATTCAAGAACAGTCACAGAGTTGTTGTGAAGCCACTACTTCGTTATTTTAGCTGTGTGCTTAAGGTCATTGTCTTGTTGGAAGGTAAACCTTCAGCCCAGTCTGAGGTCCTGAGCACTCTGGAGAAGGTTTTCGTCCAGGATATCCCTGTACTTGGCCGCATTCATCTTTCCCTCGATTGCAACCAGTCATCCTGTCCCTGCAGCTGAAAAACACCCCCACAGCATGATACTGCCACCACCATGCTTCACTGTTGGGACTGTATTGGACAGGTGATGAGCAGTGCCTGGTTTTCTCCACACATACCGCTTAGAATTAAGGCCAAAAAGTTCTATCTTGGCCTCATCAGACCAGAGAATCTTATTTCTCACCATCTCACAACTCCATGCGGGCTTTCATGTGTCTTGCACTGAGGAGAGGCTTCCGTCAGGCCACTCTGCCATAAAGCCCCGACTGGTGGAGGGCTGCAGTGATGGTTGACTTTCTAAAACTTTCTCCCATCTCCCGACTGCATCTCTGGAGCTCAGCCACAGTGATCTTTGGGTTCTTCTTTACCTCTCTCACCAAGGCTCTTCTCCCCCAATAGCTCAGTTTGGCCGGACGGCCAGCTCTAGGAAGGGTTCTGATCATCCCAAACGTCTTCCATTTAA